TAGAATAAAAGGGTGATGGAGAGACGCATTTGTTCTTTGCTTGAGCTAGGAACATCCATCTTCCCCTCTTCTTGGACTTCAGCCTTCTTGGTTCTTGGATCTTCAAGTTTGAACTGGAACTCTACTATCAACTTTCCTTGGTCTCTAGTTTGCAGACAGCAGATCATGAGACTTCTCAGTTCTCATAATTGTGTAAGACTATACTTGTAATAAATCTCTTTCTTTATATCTATATAAAGAAACTGGTTCTGTTTCTCTGAAGAACCCAGACTAATACAAGTGACTATGAGAGAAAAGCATTTCAGGAGGGGTCGGAATTGGACACAAATAAAAACATATTCATGGTATCGTGGAACAAAAATACTAGTGTGTCATAAAAACTTTTATTGCAGGAATGGAAAGTATGAATTTGGGAGCAGCAAGAGATGAGGCAGTAGGACAAGCAGTGATTTGAGTGTCTATTATCCAATCAGTTTAACAAGCCTACCTTAAGAGAATTCCAGATGGAGACTATCTAGACATTCAACAATAGGGCATTGATTAAACACACAATGAAACAGTAAGTATGACAAAACATGATGCTAGAGTAGGCTATTTAGTATCCAAGAGAAAAGGGGGGAAGGGAGAAGAAAGGAAGAAAGAAGGAAGGAAGGAGAAAGACAGAAGGAAGAAGGGAGAGAGGGAAGGAGGGAGGGAGGGAGGAAAGAAAGAAGGAAAGGAGGAAGGAAGGAAGGAAGGAAGGAAGGAAGGAAGGAAGGAAGGAAGGAAGGAAGGAAGGAAGGAAGAAAAAGCAGGAGCCTTACATATATGTTTGTCATGGTCTTCCAGAAATTCAAATGCACTTGGGTAAGATCAGAATGAACTTTAAGGTGAGTTTTAATTGTTTCTCCACTGATTTTCTGTGAAAGACACTGTTATGGGATGATCCTACAGCCTATCTTTCTTCTCTCTACCTACATAAGCTCAGTTTTGATTGAGGCAGCAAGATACTTAGCCTAGAAAAACCAAAGTAAGCCCATTTCTGAATGCTGGGTGCTTACTTCTACAACCTCTCTGAGTGATCTGGTGATCAGATTCTGGCCAATGACAGGATGGGCTACAGGTTTTGGGAAATATTTTTATTCCATGAAAAAAAATAGAAGCTGCCTTTTCCACTGGGATTTTTTTCTCTTTCTTTTTTGAGTGTGGTTTGTAAAGATATGATTTTTAGAGAGATGGCAGCCTTCTCGTAATCATGCAATGAAACGTCTGTTTTGAGCCCAGTCCTGAACAGAATGTTGGGATATAAAAGAAATAGAAACTATGGTCCCTGAGTCCAAAGAAAGTATAATACAGAATGTCAAGACATGTACACACAAATTAACTTGAGAACAATTACAAAGCAACTTACAGTACTATTCAGTGCCAAATAATTCAGAACCAATGGCAGCCCTCCAGAATCTGCTGTTGGTAACTATGTCTTGCCAATTTTTCTTGCCTATCCGGTTAAATGGATGAAGTTTTTAGGAAAGGTGTGACAATTAGAGAAGATTCTCATCTCAATTTCTTATATTTTTAAAGTACATTGCTGCTCCTAATATTTTCACTTGGAAAGAAAGCACAATATCAAAAAAGCATTGGGCTATTCATTGTTTTTTTAGTCTTGGTAAAGCAACTTAATAGCTGTGGGACATTGTAAAAATTACTTAAATGTTGAGACTTTGGTTCCCTAACTTGTACACTGGAGACAATGATTTGTTCAACAAATATTTACTGAACATTAATACTCTTGAGTTGAATACTCTTTTAGGCGATAGAATTATAGTAGTGAACAAAAGAGACAAAGTTCCTGACCTCATAGAAGTTAGCCGTACAATAAACAAATGTATACTAATCAAGATCTAGCAATAAGTCCAAGACAAAAACATATAGCAAGGTTAGGAAGACAGAGAGTATGGCAGGTAAGTGGGGAGGGAAGCTGTTGATTTATGCAGGGATCTAGAAAGTTTCTTTTTAAAATTTTTTATTTATTTTATTTTTTTTATTTTAAAGATGTGAGGTACAATTCAGGGTTAGGTATACAAATGTTCATTATACAGGTACCCTTGTAATGAGGTGTGCTCCTCCCACCCCCAGCAGTTTCCCACTACTGCCAATCCCTTAGAAAGTCTCTTTGATAAGAAGCTTGCATTTCCTTTCCCATGTTGTATGTAGGGTGTGTGTGTGTGTGTGTGTGTGTGTGTGTGTGTGTGTGTGTGCGCGCGCGCGCGCACTGGCACTGGCTTGCTTATCTGGGGAGAGAGAAAGACAAATGACTTAAAATATATATAAAGTACCTGGTAAATTACTCTGTATGTTGTGAACATAAGGTATTATTATCATTGCTATTATTGTGGATTAAGTCTAAACTTCTTAGCTGGACATTTAAGATCCTTACAACATACCCTTCCAACCAACCTTTCTAGTACTATTCCCACACCTCTGTATATACCAAGCTTCCAAATCATTTTCACTGCATATAACTCATTTTGGAAACTAATCATGTACCGACCAGTTCATGTTGCTGCCATTGTTTCTTCTGTTTGATTCCTTTATAACTTTTTTAAAAATAAATTTGGTGTCCCCAATGAAATGATAAACTTCTGTATGTCAGTCTTTCTATACATGCCTTGAACATAAAAGGTGTTCAATGATATTTATTAATTTTGTTTGATGATTGATGTTTATCATCACTCTGAAAACTGTCACTCAGTCTGGAATTTGATGCTATATTCAATTTTGAATGAATTTTGAATCACCTTATTTATTATGGAACTGTGTATGATTTGTGTAGCAGAATCCTTAAATCCTTTGGATTGCTAAAGAGGGTCTTCAATTACGGTAGTACTTTCCTAAAGGATCACCCCAGAGTCAATCAGACCAAAAGCAGTTCAGAATCTTATGTCTTTTTCATGACCATAATCCTGTATGGACTTTTCATGATGCTTTCATAACTTTGGGATATTGCTTGCCAGTACTAATTTGTTATTGTTGTCTCTTAAATAACTTTCCCATCTTTCTGAATTGAAAGAATGTTCCAGTAGTCTGAGAAATCAAACAAAAGAGAAGGATAAATAAGGTATGGTAAAAACTATAGAATAACTATGGAATGTGGTTTTGATAGGCTGAATAATAATGGCCCTTCAACAATATGTATACCCTGGGACCTATGAATTTGTTGCCTTACATGGCAAAAGGGACTTTGCAGATGTGACTAAGTTAGAAATATTGAGATGGGGAGCTTTTTCTGGACTATCCAGGTGGACCCCATGTAATCACAAGGGTTCTTCTAGAAGGGATGCAGAAGGATCAGAGTCAGAGGAGATGAGATGCCAGAATTAGATGTTGAAGTGATGTGGTCACAAGTCAAGGGCTGGAGGCAGCCTCTGGAAGCTGGAAAAGATCAAAAAAGGAACAGATTGCCTCCCAGAATCTCCAGAAAGAATACACAGTCCCTAGTGACACTTTGATTTTAACCCTAAAAGACTTTTGATCTCCAGAACTGTAAGCTAATACATTTGTGTTGTATTACATTAGTGACAGAACTAGATATCTGTCACAATTTAACCCCTACGGCATGTATATTAATTGTACAATATAGGAATGTCACTCTGTCTCAGTTTCCTTTCCTGTAAAGTGAAATTATATCTGTCATACAGTATTGTTATAAAGACAAATAAAATTATTCACATGAGCACTTTGTAAAGTCATACTATCTCCTTCCTTCAGCCAAAGTGAACATGGCTAACTGACTGCAGCCTTCTTTGCCCAAGAGCCAAGACACAGCCTCGGAATTTTTCTTAACTCACCTTCAGGAAGTAACTATCAATCAACTAGAACTGGCATAAAATAAAAAATTCATTTAAAACCCCTGACCTAGTGGCTTAGAAAACTCAATCTCTTGGCCAGTAGCAGCAGCAGTATGGCTTGTTAGAAAGGCCGCCCCCACCCCCAGTCTCCACCCCAGACCTAATTGAATCACAACAGCATTTTAACAAGACCCCTAGGTGAGTACTGTGTGCTAGTTGAGAGAAAATATTTTGTATTGGTTTGAATCACCGCTGAGCAGGTTACTACTGTGTGACCTCATACAAAGTGCCTGGATCATCTAAGCCCGCTGCCTCCTCCGCGAAGTGGGGAAATCATACCCACCTCCACGGGTTGTTGTAAGAATTCGAGAGGCTGTATATAAGGCATTTTGCACAGAGCCTGCCAACAAACACTCAGTTAATAATAGCTCTTTTCATCGTATCTTTTTGCACTGCCTACAGCTGCTAGCCAGACTACACATCCATTCAGGACTGCAGGAGTCGCTCAGCAGGGACGATTTCCAAAGCCATCCACGCCCATGGGGGTGGAGGGGAGGAGGTGGGGACGGAACGCTGTCAGCAATGCCATCTTCAAAAATGCAGGATACTGTACGTTTTGCAACACATATTAAACATCGGGTGATCTCCTTGCTTTCGCACCTTCGCTGCACATGGCTTTATTGGAAACCGTTTGCTGGAGTCTGGACTCAACCCTGGAGTCCTGTGATCTGTGGGAGGAAGCAAGGGCCAGAATTCCCGCTGAGTGGCTCTGGGTCCCCAGCCCTCTTCCTTAATCCCTTCTTAACTTTCCATCTGCCTCTGGTCTCCTTGCAGCAGAACTGCAACCTGCCAGTCCCTACCCGGCTCCCCGACCTGGAGCTGCAACGCTTTCCCCCGGGTCCGGGAGGCGGAGGCGG